CCAAGATCAAGAGTCGGACGCTTAACCGACTGAGCCACCTCGGCGCCCCATCTGTGTGCAGGGTCTTTATTCTGACACTGATGAAGACATCTAGTCAGGCATGGCCTGAACCAGGAATTCACAGATGTCCCACATGACAGAGGAGGAAAGTGGCTTTGGCAACAGTTAAGAATCTTTGCACAAGGAGTGATGAAAACCACCCGCATTTGGGTTTTCTCTCACTCAGAAGACAGTTGTGTACAGCCGCGGGAGACATACCTGCCCAAGAAGTATGGTCAGTCTCCAGGGGCAATCCTTGGTCAGGAGCCAGGAATCATAGCAGGCTATAATCCTCACAGCGTAGCCTGAACTTGCCCATGACCGCCTTGAGCAACCTATGAGGCTGACAGGGGCTTGATAGGCTGATAGTCACGGTTAGGACGGAAGGCTCAGGAATGAAGCTATCTCTGTTCAGCATCCTGACCCTCCATTCTACAGCTACAGGCACGAGGGGTGTGCATTGACTGCAAACTGGATTTCGGCAAGTGAACTGATGTTTGAAGGTGGCAAAGGTTTGTTCAGCAGAAGGGTGAGTTGGTTAAGGAGCTGGACACCGTGTGGCACCATCCAAGGAATTTGTGGGAGCCCCCAGATCACTGGAGGGCAGAACCGAGGGAGGGTCTCGACGGTGGAGGACATGTCATTTAAGAGCGCTCTTTCACGAGTCAGCTCTGCGTAAGCTCGGACGTGGTGACGCTATATCCCAAGAAGTTCATAAGGAAAAGCTCAGACTCCTATGCCATGGTGAGGGCTCCCAGGAGCAGGTCCACGTAGATTAGAGAAGGGTGTGAGTTGGCTCTTGCTTCTGGGAAACATTTTAATATCAGGAGGCAGGATATAATAGTGATTTAGACCACGGGTGGTTTTAGACAGACCTGGGTTTGATTCCAGCTCTGCCTTTCACCAGATATACGAGTTTAGGCAAGTTACTTAAACGCTCTAAAGCCTTGGTTTCCTCATCCGTAATAACAGTACAGATGATAGTAGCACCTCGGCATTGGAATGTTACGAGGAGGAAGTGAGATTATAAAGGTTGTAAGCACTCAATAAACGTTAGCTGCCGTTACTCTTATTGGCTAAATGATTGCTATCTAGTGACCCATCCAGTGCGGAACCTGTCAGACTTTACCACTTTGCTATGCAAAGCGTGGACGTAAGCAGTACCAACATCAACCAGAACCTTGCAAGAAACGCAGAATCTCCAGCCTCGGCCGGAACTACTCAACGACAACCTGCATTTTAACAAGAGCCCCAGCTGATTGGCAGGCACATTATAGTTTGAGAAGCTCTGGCCTGGAAGAGGTGAGAAGGTGCTCATTAAAGCCATAAAATGGGCGAGGCATGGCTGAAACTGAAACATGGGATATACAGCATGAACCTGGAAAGCAGATATTTATCCCTTCCATTCCGTAACGACACGCATTTCTCGATCTCACCTTCCAAGCTCCCGGCTGTACCCCTCCAACACACATTCACAAGTCAAAGCTAGACTTTTATATCATTTCCAGCTTTGTGATGGGATCTATATACTGGAAATCTCCCAGATGGAGATTTGCACGTGTGTGTCGATATCATCAAGGGCCCTGATAATTGTTTCATAGTGTTTTCTTCGAGGAGAGGGCTTCTGAACTCGGCAATGGAGGATAGTTGGGATTTCATGAAGCAGAGCTAGGAGGAAAGGGCATTCCTGAGAGAGGAAAGACACGAGCCAAGGCAAGAGGCAGGAAATTCAGGGAGGTTCCCTGAACTCCTAACTGATTAAGCTTGATCAGAACAGGGAGTGAGTGGTGACAATGAGAACAGCGATAAGTTATAAGCGAGGCTGGAAAGATGTGAAATCCAGGTCATGGAGGATCTTAATACCCTTTCAGGATTTGGGGTTTGGAGGCAGCCACTGAATGTGTTTATGATGCATGTCTGTGCATTCTCCTTGCCCAAGAATCCAGCTCCAGAGAGAGAGGGATCCACTGGAGGTGGTCCCAGGGGCTACAGTGCTGGAGTTCTTGTCCTTCAGAAAGAAATGAAGGTGGAGCTTGAGACCCTTGAACACGTTTAGTGAAATCACGGTCAGGTTAGTGCTTCTACCAATGGCCCAACATTGCTAACTTGGTCATTTTATGGACAGTGCTAATTACCTGGTCATTCCAGGTCTACATTCAGTTCACCTGCATTTGCATCATTCGGGTATGATGCACCGCCTTGTCTGTGCCCCTTTGAATCAAATCTGTCGACACAGGTTCACTATATTCATCTGGACTTAAATTGGATCTCTGAAGACTTCCGTTTGGGGAGGTGATCTCTGAATATTGCTTCATCTGCCTAATAGACGACCCGCATTAGAGACGAGCACATTAAAATTTTTTTTAACGTTTATTTATTTTTGAGAGAGAGAGAGAGAGAGTATGAGCAGAGGAGGGGCAGAGAGAGAGGGAGACACAGAATCCGAAGCAGGCTCTGGGCTCCGAGCTGTCCGCACAGAGCCCGACGAGGGGCTCGAACTCGTGAACCGTGAGATCATGACCTGAGCTGAAGTCGGACGCTTAACTGTCCAAGCCACCCTGGTGCCCCGGAGACGAGCACATTTAATCCTACTAAGTGAGGCATCGGGGAGCGCTTCCCATGTACCAGCAGGTGCAGGAAGAAAGGGCTGGGGAGGACCTTTGGAACCCCTCTCATTAGAGGGCTGGCATAGGCACCAGAGACTGGCCCGTGTGTTGCTGATTTATGGCATAATCTCTCAAAAGCTGTTTCAGATCCTGTTTGTTTTGCTTATCAATGTGAAGAACAGGCAGGATGGCTTATAGCTGTCATTTCCTCTCTGCCTCTGTGATCTTTCAGAGGAAATAAATCAGTAGGCCCTACTCCACCTTTGCCAAGCTCAGTTGGATGCTTCACATCCTGTTGTTGGGTTCACCCAAGCCTCTTCTTTGATAATGATGTTAATCGTCTATAGTTACCAGAAGTCATCTTGTCTTCCTTTCACAAAGATGAGCAGGCCATTTCCTTCTTTTAATTCTTTTTTTTAATGCTTATTGATTTTTGAGAGAGAAAGAGAGAACGTGCATGAGTGGGGGCAGGGCAGAGAGAGGACCAGAGAGAATCCTAGGCAGGCTCCGTGCTGTCGGCTCAGAGCCTGACGCGGGGCCCCATCTCACAAACCATGAGATCATGACCTGAGCGGAGAGCAAGAGTCAGATGCTTAACCAACTGAGCCACCCCGGCGTCCCTTCTTTTAATTCTTAGTGAATCAAGCTGTCCACCCAACCCTACCCGTGACTGCCAGTCCCAGAATTCTGGGATGTGTATGTGGGGGAGACATAAGTGAGCTTCTACTCCCTCCAGTAAGCTGGACGCAAAATATCGAGTGTGTGCTTATGCCCATTGTTCTGAGGATAACCTTGGTACTTTACATCGGATTCTTAAAGAAGACTCTTTACAAAAGCCAGGTTGAGAGCCACTATAGGGGCACCTGGGTGGCTCAGTCGGTTAAGCGTCCGACTTCGGCTCAGGTCATGATTTCACGGTTTGTGAGTTCGAGCCCCACGTCAGGCTCTGTGCGGCAGACAGCTTGGGGCCTGGAGGCTGCTTCCGATTTTGTGTCTCCCTCTCTCTCTGCTCCTCCCCCACTCATGCTCTGTCTTTCTCTCTCAAGAATAAATAGACTTTTTTTTTTTTTTTAAAGAGGCACTATAAAGAACACACAGTGGGGCGCCTGGGTGGCTTAGTCGGTTAAGCGTCTGACTTTCGCTTAGGTCATGATCTCGCGGTTCGTGGGTTCGAGCCTCGCGTCGGGCTCTGTGCTGACTGCCAGCTCAGAGCCTGGAGCCTGTTTCGGAGTCTGTCACTCCCTCTCTCTCTGACCCTCCCCTGCTCACGCTGTCTCTCTCCCTCCTAAAAATAAATAAAACATTAAAAAAAAAAAAAAGAACACACAGCCTCTGTTACTTCAGCCCAAGCTTTGTTGTCATCCTAACCTACCTTTGGAAATGGAGATGGTCAGCATGATAATTTGCCGTAAATGACTCTAGGATGTGATTGTCCAAATCTCAGGCCCCTTCAGTGTGTATGAGCCCAGACGTGTGATTCCAGGGCCCCAAACAAACCCTGTTTCTGTTTTGTTCTCTTGTTTCAATTTTTTAAAATGTTTATTTATTTTTGAGAGACAGAGTGTGAGCAGGGGAGGGTCAGAGAGAGAGGGAGACACAGAATCTGAAATAGGCTCCAGGCTCCGAGCTGGCAGTCAGCACAGAGCCCAACACGGGGCTCGAACCCACGGACCGGGAGATCATGACCTGAGCCGAAGCTGGACACTTAAACGACAGAGCCACGAGGCGCCCCACATTTTTATTTGCCCATCATGGCGGTGGGCCTCACGCAGTAGCTCCAACCCCTCGGTGCATTTGGGAATCACCTGAGGAGCTTTGAACACCATGACGGCTGGGGCTCTATCCCTAAGAATTTTAATTCAGTTGATTTGAGATGGGACCTGGGTGCTGATATTTTAAAAGCAAGTTTGCCAGGTGGTTCATTCTCTTTCTTTCTCTTTCTTTTTCTTTCTTTCTTTCTTCCTTTCCTTCTTTCATTTTCCTTTTTTAAATTTTTTTTTTAACATTTATTCAGTTTTGAGAGACAGAGAACGAGTGGGGAAGGGGCAGAGAGAGAGGGAGACACAGAATCTGAAACAGGCTCTGAGCCAGCAGCACAGAGCCCGACGCGGGGCTCGAACCCACAAACCGTGAGATCATGACCTGAGCCGAAGTCGGATGCTCAACCGACTGAGCCACCCAGGCGCCCCACATTTTCTTTTTTATTTGAGAGAGACAAAGAGAGTGCAAGCAGAGGAGGGGGGACAGAGAGAGGGGGAAGAGAGGCTCTGAAGCCGGAAGAAGGTGTCAGGGTGCTGCAGGGCCCCGCTGAGGTTTTGGCACCCCCCAGGGTAACCATTTCCCTTCTCTCCGCAGATGGTGCTCCTGGCCAGGTGCGAGGGCCACTGCAGCCAGGCGTCGCGCTCCGAGCCCCTGGTATCCTTCAGCGCCATCCTTAAGCAGCCCTTCCGCTCCTCCTGTCACTGCTGCCGGCCCCAGACCTCCAAGCTGAAAGCAGTGCGGCTGCGCTGTTCCGGGGGCATGAGAATCACGGCCACCTACCGGTACATTCTCTCCTGTAACTGTGAGGAGTGCGGCTCCTGAGACCTGCCGCCCAGGGGCTTCCGGATGGGACGACCTTGTCCCCCGCCGAGGCAGTTCGACCAGCCAGGGAGAAGGACTGGCGAGACCAGAGTTAAGGAGGAGAAAGAAAAAAGAAAAAAAAAAAAAGATGCAGCAATTCCCACGGGATTCTGCATATTCTAGTAATAAAGACTTTCCATGCTCGTTGACAGAGAGACAGAGAGAGAGAGATGCTCTGCGACCTTGGTTCCCATCCCCGTCTCCTTTCCCTGGTACAATCTCTTTTGGTTCCTTTTCAGATTCAGGCATCTTCCACACACCGCCCCCCCCCCCCGCCCCCTTGTCGCTGAATGTGGTTTGGGTTTCCAGCGCGTCAGCGTCCGTGGGGAACGTGGGTCCCCATGCAAGCGTGGGTCCGGCTGTCACTGTTTGGTGCGCTGGGGAAGCCTTCGCTTTGGAACGCAGGAAAGCCCCGCTCCTTCCGCGCCGCCGTCTGGCTTTGTTTCCCCCTGGGTTTTATCTTGTCATCTGGTCTCAGGTTGCTGTCCCCACGAAAGGTTACCAACGTCACATTGCGGGCCCCGAGCGTGCGGGTGCGTAGAGCCAGGCTCATTCGCAGCCCGCTGACCGACATTAAAATGACTAACAGTTGGATTCTCCTACGTGACGCTGAAGCCCCTGCGAGCGGTAATTATTATTCTGAAATGGCTTTTGGGAAGTAAAGGTGGCATAAGGAATTGGTCACCCAAAGGCTCTTGCAGATAAATTATGGTAAAACTGTGTAAGGGAGCCGATGTCTAAAGAGCTGCACAGATGCGGATCCTGCACTGACTTTGACAAAGGCATATAAGTACTAGTGGCATGGAGAACCCACTATATGCATGCATGCAAATTAGACAACCAAGTATGAATGTCTCTGTAGGTGCGCTACAGCTTTAGCCATGTTGTGGCCATCGTTCTCTCCCATCCACTTGTCCACATCAAGCCTGCTGCCCCAATGGCGGCCTGACTCATCCTCTGAACATTTGGCTCAACTATCTTTTGATCCTTGAGACTCAAAATTTGAGTCATTCCCATGTTGTGAAATAAAAAGACAGTATCTTCAAACTTTGACCGTGTTAAGTGTTGTCTTTTCCTATTAAGTATCTTACTGTCATGCATCCCCTTTGGGATGTGAGTGTGTGTGTGTGTGTGTGTGTGTGTGTGTGTGTGTGTAGGGAGGTCCAGAAAAAGAGAGAGATAGGGTTCTAGAATGCATGGTGTGGACATTTTTTTTTGAAATCAATATACTAGGGTGATGGAGGCTTAGGGAACTTGGCTTTTGGTTTCAGAAATTAGCTTGTTGACTGAGCATAAAATCTGATGCATTCTGGCTTCTTTGGGCACTATGGAATGAAATGGAGGTCAATGTTTTTGAAGTTTATATACTTACTTTGAGGGGTGGGGCAGAGAGAAAGGGAGAGAGAGAGAATCCCACGCAGGCTGTGCACCATCAGTGCGGAGCCCGATGCGGGACTCGACCTCACCGACTCTGAGATCATGATCTGAGCCAAAATCGAGTCGCTTAACCAACTGAGTCACCTAGGTGCCCCGAAGTCATCTCTTGTTTAATGTCTTTGGTTTTCTCGGGAAAGAACAAGTATCCATAAATGAAGACCGCAGAGCCAGAAGGACAAATAAGTCACCAACTATAGTTTCTGTGCCATTGACCGTCCACTGCCATCGACCATGCAACGCCCCAGGCCCAATTATACTCCTGAGCATTATGAGAACTATCACGGTGCTAGCATAGTGCTGTGCCCACTTTAGGCGCCACAACACTACCCCAGACTGGCGACTCCGTTTCCAGGGCAACCTTGACACCATGCTGTCTTGGTGCACCAGGGATGACGTCATACCCCACCGTTAGTACAGCCAACTTGTGAATTACTTTTCCCATAGAGCTGATGGCTTTGTACACTCTCTGGGCTTAGCTTTCACATGGTTTTCAGAAAGCCAGCAGGGTTAAATTTGTATCTGTGACTTTGGAACAGAATAAAACGAGCGCTATTCAACCCTGACCTTGATCTTAACCTTCACAGTGACAGAGCCAGGCAGCTGACTAATTAGAGGTCTCCTCATTTTGAAGGCAAATGTGAAATGGTAATTCAGACCATTGCATAAAGAGAGATTTTTGTCATAAAAAAGAATTAAATTTAATACCTAAAGTTACATGGCTATGCTCCTCAACTGATCATGAAAGTATTAACTGCTGGTCACATTTATAGCTATTCCTTCAGGTCGCTAATCAAAAAGTGCAAATAATATATTTAGCCTGAAAAGACATCTTCTGGCTTTGAAAATTCAATTTGCTTTGAGAGTTATATGCCCCCATCTCCAGTTTTTATTTCCTTACTACCGATTTGGGACCAGAGGGGGCAGTTATGTGACTCATGTTTTCCAAATTCCCTGGAAGCCATAGAAAATATTCCCTTCAAATCCCATTACATAGTCTATTGTCAAAGCTTTCCCCATGGAAATGGGCAGACCATGCTTGGAACCCAAGAGAAGCAAAGAACAGTGCCATTGGGAGAGCTATTAAAGAGAATCCATTCTCTTCTCTCCCTATACATGAGCAAACGGAGACCTGCAAAAAGCCAAGGCCTCGCCCAGTTGCCCAACGAGTGAGAGAGACAGAGTGGAGTTTAATGGGGCATATCAAGGCTGAGAAAGAGGAAAAAGAATGATATTTTCCCTAAAGACCTCAAAATAGCCCTGGGAACGGAGAGCATTTAGACATTATTGGATATTGAGTTACTATGGAATTTGTATTATGTCTTTAAAAAATTAAACATATTTAGCCTTGTTTTAATGCCTACCCCTAAGGATTGAGAGAGAACCAAATGAAAACATCGATCCCTTAAAAACATTACCCCTGGAATGCCTGAGAAATGTCCACCCATTGTCTCCATTTGCTATGCATGGATACAGGGAGATCAAAGTATGTTATGATCTTAGTAGCATACATCTATCAAAACGTGTACGATCTTCCGTGACGGCGGAGGGAAAGACTCTGGTAAACTGATTTTACCCTCATCATTTATAAGCATTTAATAATGGTGAGTTAACACCGTCCTGGAAGACAGAGGGGATTACGGACCTAATCGATTTTCTTGAGCTTCACAGACAGATCTCTTAAGCCTTATTCATGTCAGATTCTGAACTTCCCCCAGAAGCTTAGAATGAAGGACAAATGAGCCTTTCCTGGCCATGAGGAAATAATGGTTGATTTTTTTTTTCTAAATTCAAGTGCTTGCTAATTCACCCAACACATTATTTTCTATTAGGGAGAGCAGGCTGCATCCACATTATGACTGGGAGACTGTTTGAGTACGTTCATTTCTTCCTTGGGACGTTGGAGGAATTAAAGTATAGACATGCTTTAGGCCACTTCTTTGGGCCCTGCTGAAACAGACAAGAGAGCTGCACAATTTGGAACACCAAATGCACGAGGGGCAGGTGGTTGGGAAGGCTTATATCCGAAAGACAGGTCGTATCCTGTCCTCTTCGGGACCCCAGGGCGCAGCCACATCATGGTGGTAGACATGGCCATTCCCTCCAGGAACTGGAACAGTGGAGAGGCTTGGGTCTGGAAAGAGAGGTCCTGCCCAAAGCCGTATCATTACAGGCAGGGCACAGTGTTTTGCTTAGTAATGCCTGTCTCGGTGCACAAACTGGTATCCGGCAACAAGTCAATATTTTCCTTTAAATCTTCACTACATTAATGACGTGTTTTGGTACGTTCTACCCTAAATCTGTAAGGGCAGAGATCTTTTCAATGAGGAAAGTAATTCTAGGGGCACATGGGTGGCTCTGACAGTTTAGCGTCCGACTCTTGATTTCCGCTCAGGTCAGGATCTCACGATTTGTGAGTTCGAGCCCTGCACCGGGCTCAGTGCTGGCCTCGTGGAGACTGCTTAGGATTCTCTCTCTCTCTCTCTCTCTCTCAAAAATAAACATTTATTTTTAAAACAAGAAATGTAATTCTAAATTTCTCATTCATTAAAGTCCTTCTGTGCCCTCAAATATTAACACCATCTTCCCACATGGTAGACAGAACCTTTTAAATCCGGTGACTATGGTGAACATGGACATGCACCAAGGAAGGATTTGTGCCTTCAGCTGTCAATCCCTTCAGGAACTGCCTTAGCTACAGAGTCACCTTGCCCAAGGGCATATACCCAATGACCGATGGGGGTACATGAGCCTGGTTTCCCCGACCTGATGAAAGACAGCTCTAGCAGACAGTCCTGGCTGCAGACATGGCCCCTGGGGTGATGGACACCCACCAGCTCTATTCCTCTGTGTGCCTGAGCTGGCTTCTCCCACTTGCTTCCAAGCTTAATTAAGTGCTGATCCCTAATCAATACCTGCACCACAAGCACCACCTCAGCCCAGGAACCAAGCCCAGAGCAGTAATTTTTACATATTTCATTGGCCTATATAAAGGAAACATGTGCATTTAAGCTGTCTAGTCTCATTACACGCATGGCATATAATATGTGGGGTTCAAATCAATGTCCATGCTTCTTCTGAACTCATAGTCCCAACATATTTTGCCAGCACTTACTATGCATCCGCTAGAGTGCTAAATGCTGGAGAGATTTGAAGTGAAAAACTCATAGCCTTGCTTTTAATATGTGCTCCGGCTGGAGGGGCCGAGAGGTAATTATAATAAGTGATAATCCACCAAGCCGATGACCAAGTAACCATTTCAGGGGTGCCTGGGTGGCTCAGTTAAGTGTCCTACTTTGGCTCAGGTCGTGATCTCACGGTTCATGAGTTCGAGCCCCTCATTGGGCTCACTGCTGAGAGCACAGAGCCTACTTTATATATAACCTCTGTCCCCCTCTCCCTATTTCTCCTCCACTCACTCTCTCTCTCTCTTTCTCAAAAATAAATAAACATTAAAAAAATATAAGCAGTCATTTTAAAAGTAAGGAGAAACGTGACTTTAGGTAATAACGCTAGGAGAAACGTGACTTTAGATAATAACGCTAACCTTTGTATAGCGTTTGCATGTCTCGTTTTCAGAATATCCTTGTGGAGTAAGTTAAAGATGACAAAAAATCTTGCAGATAAGAAACCGGAAGTTGATATTTGAACTTAAAGCCTGTGCTTTCTTTGCCATTTCCAAACACCCCCTTTTTCTTTTTCCTGAAGCGTGTGGACAGAACAAAAAGGAACTCCGAATCCCTTTGTGTCGGAATATATCAGTCCTTGTTAGCAAAGTAGGATAACAGAACAAACACACAGCGCACAGGACCTTGACCCAATAGAATGTCAGAGAATATACTATCCTTATGTAAACATCTGGAGAAAAGAAATACATTCCGAATTATACATGAGGCCAAAACCGTGCTCTTGACTTTAAAATCCTATCGCACTCGGTTGTAATCGTTTCAATAGCTTCAGGGCCCTAGACGAACATGTTAATTTGAATGTTCTATTTTAAAATTGTTGAGAGTTGGACAGGGTCCCCTAGGACCATCATCATCATCGTCATCAACCTCGAGTCACAGCGCATAAAGAAGCAGACGTTGTGATGAGCACTTTCTCTGCTTTATCTCGTGTAATCCTCGGCAACCGACCTTGAGGTTAATATCACCCTCGTCTTACAGAGAGTCGGAATAAGCGCTCTGGTTTTTAATCACTCTTTAATCACTTTTCTTTTTGGCATCGCAGAGTTCATTATCTTCAAGATAATCGTGAGAACGAGTATCGCGATCAGCCTTGCAAAGCATATGTCAGGTATTTGTACATGCATATGCACTATGGAAATCAACTTAAAGAGGTAAGTTCTCTCCTTGTCAGAGCTGACCTTCTAAACCCGGCTTATGGTTTTAAATAACTGAATTCTTCACAACGCGTTCTCTTCTATTTTGGTCTACACCAGTGGTGTGTTTTTCCATAATCCTAGCGTCCAATTATGCCCTTTTTCGCACTGGGGCGATCTTGTTTCCTTTCCCTTATTTGATTCCACAGCACTATTGACGATTCGCGACGTTTTAGGTACCTGCTGTTGGAAGAGACCATAAGAAACCGTAGTACTAACATCAACACTGGTCTGAA